ACTATGTTGATCATATCTACTATATGATTCACGTTCGACCTTTCGGTCTTCGTGTTCTGAGGCCATATCTGTTATATGCTAGGCTCGTCAAGTTTAACCTGAGTATTCCGCGTGTGCAACTGTTTTGCACCCATTGTATTTTAACGTAGAGCCTATCACACCCGATCATCACGTGGTGTCTCAGCACGAAGAACTTTCGCAACGGTGCATACTCAGGGAGAACACTTATACTTTGATAATTTAGTGAGGGATCATCTTATAATGCTACCGTCAATCAAAGCAAGATAAGATGCATAAAAGATAAACATCACATGCAATCAATATAAGTGATATGATATGGCCATCATCATCTTGTACTTGTGATCTCCATCTCCGAAGTACCGTCATGATCACCATCATCACCGGCGCGACACCTTGATCTTATGCTTCCACGACTATCGCTACCGCTTAGTGATAAAGTAAAGCATTACAGCGCGATTGTATTGCATACAATAAAGCGACAACCATATGGCTCCTGCCAGTTGCCGATAACTCGGTTAAAAAACATGATCATCTCATACAATAAAATTTAGCATCATGTCTTGACCATATCACATCACAACATGCCCTGCAAAAACAAGTTAGATATCCTCTACTTTGTTGTTGCAAGTTTTACATGGCTACTACGGGCTTAGCAAGAACCATTCTTACCTACGCATCAAAACCACAACAATAGTTTGTCAAGTTGGTGCTGTTTTAACCTTCGCAAGGACCGGGCGTAGCCACACTTGGTTCAACTAAAATTGGAGAAACTGACACCCGCCAGCCACCTGTGTGCAAAGCACGTCGGTAGAACCAGTCTCGCGTAAGCGTACGCGTAATGTCGGTCCGGGCCGCTTCATCCAACAATACCGCCGAACCAAAGTATGGCATGCTGGTAAGCAGTATGACTTATATCGCCCACAACTCACTTGTGTTCTACTCGTGCACAACATCAACGCATAAAACCTAGGCTCGGATGCCACTGTTGGGGAACGTAGTAATTTTAAAAAAATTCCTACGCACACGCAAGATCATGGTGATGCATAGCAACGAGAGGGGAGAGTGTTGTCTACGTACCCTTGTAGACCGGCAATGGAAGTGTTGACACAACATAGAGGAAGTAGTCGTACGTCTTCCCGATCCGACCGATCCAAGTACCGAACGTACGACACCTCCGAGTTCTGCACACGTTCAACTCGGTGACGTACCTCGAGCTCCGATCTAGCAAAGTGTTGACGGAGAGTTTCGTCAGCATGACGGCGTGATGACGGTGATGATGTTCTACCGATGCAGGGCTTCGCCTAAGCACCGCTACGATATGACCGAGGTGGAATATGGTGGAAGGGGGCACCGCACACGGCTAAGGAACGATCACGAAGATCAACTTGTGTGTCCTAGGGTGCCCCCTTGCCCCCGTATATAAAGGAGGGAGAGGGGGAGGTGCGGCCGGCCCAAGGGGTGCGCCTGGAGGAGTCCTACTCCCCCTCTTGCCTTGTTGGAAAAGGAAGGGGGAAGGGAGAAAGAGGAAAAGGGGGGCGCCGCCCCCCTTCCTTGTCCTATTCGGACTAGGGGGAGGGGGCGCGCGGCCTGCCCTGGCCGGTTCTCCTCTTCTCCCTTAGGGCCCATGTAAGCCCAATAACCCCCGGGGGGGGGTTCCGGTAAACCCCCGGTACTCCAGTAAAATTCCGATTTCACCCGGAACGTTTCCGATATCCAAATATAGGCTTCCAATATATCAATCTTTATGTCTCGACCATTTCGAGACTCCTCGTCATCTCCGTGATCACATCCGGGACACCGAACAATCTTCGGTACATCAACACACAAAAACCCTAATTACGATCGTCACTGAACTTTAAGCGTGCGGACCCTACAGGTTCGAGAACTATGTAGACACGACCGAGACATGTCTCCGGTCAATAACCAATAGCGGAACCTAGATGCTCATATTGGCTCCCACATATTCTATGAAGATCTTTATCAGTCAAACCGCATAACAATATACGGTGTTCCCTTTATCATCGGTATGTTACTTGCCCGAGATTCGATCGTCGGTATCTCAATACCTAGTTCAATCTCGTTACCGGCAAGTCTCTTTACTCGTTCCGTAATACATCATCCCGCAACTAACTTATTAGTTGCAATGCTTGCAAGGCTTGAGTGATGTGCATTACTGAGAGGGCCCAGAGATACCTCTCCGACAATCGGAGTGACAAATCCTAATCTCGAAATAAGCCAACCCAACAAATACCTTCGGAGACACCTGTAGAGAACCTTTATAATCACCCAGTTATGTTGTGACGTTTGGTAGCACACAAAGTGTTCCTCTGGTAAACGGGAGTTGCATAATCTCATAGTCATAGGAACATATATAAGTTATGAAGAAAGCAATAGCAACAAACTAAACGATCAAGTGCTAAGCTAATGGAATGGGTCAAGTCAATCACATCATTCTCCTAATGTGATCCCGTTAACCAAATAACAACTCATGTCTATGGTTAGGAAACATAACCATCTTTGATCAACGAGCTAGTCAAGTAGAGGCATACTAGTGACATTTTGTTTGTCTATGTATTCACACATGTATTATGTTTCCGGTTAATACAATTCTAGCATGAATAATAAACATTTATCATGATACAAGGAAATAAATAATAACTTTATTATTGCCTCTAGAGCATATTTTCTTCAGTGAGAAGCTCAAATTGGCTCAGAAACCAATCTGCCTGCCATCTTCTAGTTTTATGAGGTGGTTATGTGATGTTGATCTTTGTTTCATCACTAACTCATACCAATGATCCCAATTTTATTTTTCTTGCAACTATATAGGACTAACTGGCTTTTTCAGAACCGGGTAACGAAAATTGGAAGTGCATCTAATCCTCTTGATGGATTTTCGTAATTATATCAACATATCTCAAAGAATTAATGCATTAATTAGCTTATCTCAAGAAAAGTTCCAACTAGTTGCAACAAAGGGATTGAAAGGTGAAGCCCACAAAATTGCATGAAGACAAGTGTTGCCAAGCCAAGGACTTAGATTTTACATTTTAGTGATTTAAGATCACATTTGCAAGTGTATCGTGCTAGCATGTTGAAGCGCTAAACGGGCGCTTCAGAGTAGTTAGCCAAAGAGTGAATACTTTGGCACAGGCAGACGAACTGGGAGGAAAGAAATTGACATCTTTTGCATAGACAACCGGACTGCCATCTTTTGAGATCGGTTGAATGTAGAAACTTATTGAACATCTGATGCTTTTTTGTTGTGATTGTATATATTTGTATCTATTTATAGTTTTATACAAATGCTAAATTGCTATTCATCTACATATGCATGTCAAACAAAGGAGATCGGACATGGGGCGAACATTCGATGCACTGGTTTGGACGACTGACTCTTCTAGACTCTAGTGATGTCCACGAACACGTCCATCCAAGCATGCCCGTTGATTTTTTATGTGTCTGATTTCATGCATCCCATTGGAGTTTCCCTATAGGAGTAAGGGCATTTCCGACACCGACCCCAAACCTCTTGCCAGCGTCCGGACCAAGCTGTCCAGATGCCGCATGCCATCCAACAGTGTCCCGCATTTGTCGGCGGACCAGTCCGGGTGTCTGTTTTTCCACAAACCGAAAGCAAACAAGGAGGCGTTGCGAGAGTTCAGACACGAGCCACATAGGACTCCGACACACCCGGCCCACTCAAAAATGAAGCGGAGCCTGCGCATTTGGAGTTGGCCGCACTATTTTTGCAGCAAAACCCACTTTCTCAACCCTTTACCCTACCATCCCGCTGCCTTCCACCCCAATTCTCGTCCCTTTTCACTGCCGCCGCATGGGCACGTACAAAAAGCTGTCGGAGATGGCTGTGGTGGAGGATCCGACAAAGGCGACCGCCCATAAGGTCAACTCGATGACATGACAAGTCCGCCGCCTCGAACAGAAGGCAAAGGAGGCGAGGTGCACAAAAAGTAGGGCGGCGGCTGTGCTGGTGGACGTGCAGGGGTGACCGTAGATGCGGGCGTGGTGCAGGGGCGGCGTCGACGTCCATGCAGACGTCGTCCTGGTTGGATCGATAGAAGCCTCCCTACTTCTATGCTGCCTAGCAGCTCGGCAGGCAGTCCTCGACATCCACCATGGGGCACGTGCCTTATTGCGTCGATGTCAATGCCCCCCCCCCCTTTTCTCCGAGTCTACATCATGGCAACTTGTCTGGTCGTGGATGTCGGGAGTGGAGCAACATCCATGTGACCTGTCACCATGCATTTGAATTTCAAATTGGCCGGACCTGGACGAACGTTTAGGGGATGTGATTGGATGGCCATCTCCCACATCAATGTCCGCAGGTGAATACCGTGTTTGTTTTGGGGATCAGTGTTGGAGATTGCTTAATTCCTCCTCTCTAGTTTCCATTATTTTAAATAGCGAACTATTGCCATGTAGCGACGGTTTTGTAGGTGAGCTGTAGCCAACTTTTTCAAAAAATTGTACATGAATCAGCCGGTCATTTAGCATCACCCTGCTCAAAACTTAGAGCATTTACAGCCAGGCGCCTCAAACCCGTCTCATATGCCCGGGCGAGCCGGACGGCCGTCCGGTCACTGACCGGTCACGTTTTTTCAACCCAAACGGACGCTTCAAACGGGTCTCAAACACCCGGGCTGACCGGCACCCCCATATCCAGCCCAAATATGGCTCGGATATGGGGGCGTCCGGGCATGCCCGCCACGTTGGACTGAAGAAGCGGTCCCACGCGGAAACACCCTCAAACCCGGCGATCTGAAGCTCGTCTCCTTCGTCGGACCGGTGGCGCAGCTCTGACGGGCATGTAGTGCATTGCCCGGCTATTTAAGTCGACCGGTGGCGCCGAAACCCTACAATCCATCGACCTTTTCCTCCTCCTATGTGCCGCCGCCGCCACTTTCTACTCCGGGAACCACGACAGCGTTGCTATGTCAGCAAGATCCACCTGACCAGCGATGGCAGCAGCGGCAGCCGTCGTCGGGGGCATGGTCGCCTCGGGCGTCATCAAGGTGGTGATAAAACAGATCGGATCCGCCATCGGGGGCAAGCTCAGGCTGCACAAGAAACTGACCAAAGACCTGGAGAAGATGAAGATGACGCTCGAGTCGGTGGACGCCGCGCTCAGCCACGCAGAGAGGCGGTCCATCACGGACAGCTCGGCGCTCCTGTGGGTGAATCGGCTCAAGATCCCCTCCACTTGGTTGCCATCAATCTGGATCTGAGTGTCGTTGCTCTTTTCTAAGATACTTACTGACGGACATGAATTTCTTAAATGTAGTGAAGTAATAGGTCTGAATTTCTTTAGATATTGAAGCAGATCTGAATTTTTTCGGGATAGAAACCTTGGTGCAGAGAGGATCAGTTGTCCTGCTATACGTGTATGACCATACGTGCATTAGCTTCCTACTAGATAGTATAATACTACTTGATAGAAGTCAAAGCCAGTGGTAGACACACTTTTACCGTCGATCAAGGAGAGGTAAAAAAACACACCTATGCTTTTCTTGATTTAAATTACAACAGCACCTCATCAAATTGGCATAGCGTGCATGTGCTTTTAATATCTTCCACTGTATTGACAGATCAAGTCATGCTGCTTGCAGCTCGGAGCTATGAGGAAGAAGATCAATATGCCAGACAAGATGAAAAAGATGCAAGAGCGTCGACAGAAGATAACACAAGACCATCAGAATCATAGTGTTCCGCCAGAAATTCGCACCAATGACCAGCAATTTCTTGATATCTGGGAAAATGCAGGGAATGTGGAGGAAGCAGAAATTATCGGGAGGACCGGCGATAAACTGGAAATATTGGCTCGTTTATCTGGGAGCACCACTGAAGGGACCACCTTCGTTCCCATATGGGGCTTTGTAGGCATTGGAAAGACCACATTGGCAAGATTCGTCGCCTCGGGCGTGATCAAGGTGGTGATCAAGCAGCTCGGATCCGCCATCGTGGGCAAGATCAAGCTGCACAAGAAACTGACCGAAGACCTGGAGAAGTTGAAGATGACGCTGGAGTCGGTGGAGGCCGCGCTCAGCGACGCCGAGAGGCGGTCCATCACGGACAGATCGGCGCTCCTGTGGGTGAACCGGCTCAAGGCCGCCATGTACGACATCTCTGACATGCTTGATGACTACGAATCTGACGCCAGCCTGGTATGCAAGATTCCCTCCATTTGGTTGCCATCAATCTGGATCTGAATGTTGCTGTTTATTTTCTAGGATATGAACTGGTGGAACCGATCTTTTAGATGATGAACTAGATCTGAATATATGTTTTTGTAGTAAAGTAAATTATGCAAACAAATTCATTATCTTAAAAAAAATCTGAATTTGCATAGTGATGTAACTTATCTAAATGAATCTGAATTTATTCAGATATGTTGTTCACAGAGAGGATCAGCTGTAGCTGTCCTACTAAATGAATCTGAACTTACTCAGGTATGCTATTCAGATATGTTGTTCGTAGAGAGGATCAGCTGTTGTTCAGAGAAGCCTGAGCTTTATGTCCTTGTCCTGTAAACCTTATTAGACTACTGTTGTTAGTGCTAATAGCTTTTTGTCTCGTAGGCGTTGTCTCAGAGTGCAAGCATCTTTAGCAAGTTTTTTGCAGCGAACCTTTGTATTTTCATTCTACTAGTTGGGTACAAAATGTCAGGACCAGCGTATCTACGATGACAGGCCATGTAATGGGTCTTCATAACCTGGGAAAGTTAGCACTCATTTGTTTAACCATACGTACGCTTTTCTTTGATTTAAATTATGGCAACGTGCATGTCCTGATAGATCAAGTCATGCTCTTGCAGTTCGGAGCTATGAGGAAGAAGATTAATATGCCAGACAAGATGAAGAAGATGCAAGAGAGTCTACAGAAGATAACAGAAGACCGTCAGAACTACTGTCTTCCGCCAGAAACTCATACCAACGAGCACCAACTTCCAGATATCAGGGAAAATGCAGGGACCATAGAGGAAGCAGAAATTATTGGGAGGGCCAAGGAAAAACTGGAAATCTTGGCTCGATTATCTGGGAGCACCACTGAACGAACCACCTTCCTCCCCATATGGGGCTTTGGAGGCATTGGAAAGACCACCTTGGCAAGATCAGTTTACAACGACCCTGAGTTTAAAAATCACTCTCGGGTATGGGTCTATGTTTCCCAGATATTTGACTTGAAATTTTTTGGAAAAACTATAATATCGCAACTATCAGAACCAGAACCAGAACAAAAGAGCAAGCCGGCACCTGATTTATATAGTATTAACATTTGCTTGCAAAAGCTACTCACTGAGAAGAAGAATATTTTGATCATTTTGGATGACCTGTGGGAGAAGCATCCTTCTCAACTAGAACAATTAAAGGATATGCTGAAGCAGGGTGAGGGATGCAAGGTGACGGTTGTAGTTACCACACGGGATGAAGGTATTGCAAATGAGATTGGTACTGTTCAGCCATACAACTTGCCTCAATTGTCAGATGAGATGTGCTGGGATAAAATTAGGCAGAAAAGTAAATTTGAAACAAGGGATGACAAACAAAGGTTGGAGCCCATTGGAAGGGATATTGCAAAGAAGTGCAGAGGTGTAGCTTTAGCTGCTCAATCACTTGGACACATGTTGAAGTCCAGGCCGCACAGAGAATGGAATTCGGTGAAAGCCAATCACATATGGGATCTATCTACTTCTACAGATGCATCACCAGGAAATGAAGTGCTTGGATCCTTGCAGTTAAGCTACAACTTCATGCCTCCATACTTGAAGTTATGCTTTGCCTATTGTGCAATCTTTCCAAAGGGTCACAAGATGATTAAATATGATCTGATTCATCAACGGATTGCTCTTGGATTCGTGGAGGCATCTAGTACATTCTCTAATTGGCGTTCTGGTTAGTGTGCTGAACATCGAGTTTGTGCCGGAGGTGGTTAAGTGGGCATATCGAGGCCACATATATGACCTTGTTATTGAGTTCGAGGATGAGAGTATCTTTGCCGGGATGGCCAACGGGTCTGATTCTGATTTGCACGAGGATGATGATAGTTCGGCACTTAAGGAGGCACCAGCTGCTGATAGTGGACGTGAGCTGTCCACCACGCAGGGTGCTGATGCTCAGACGTCTGCGGATGGGACGGTTACTCCTTCTTCGGTGCCGACGACTACCCTCAGGTTCGGCTCTTTCGAGCCGGCATCTGCACCCCCGAGATTGTGGAGTGATCGGGTGGAGTCGGATGAGGTGTTTGAGCGCTCGCTTCCGGCACTGGAGTTTGAGGAGCCAGTGCTTCCTCCTTTGGGGGAGTCACCGATCCCGGTTAGGATTGGGGCGGAGGAGGTCATTGGCGCGGGAGAGAGTCTGAAGATGGGGGCTTTGGATTTTTCATCTGCGGCCGCGACTGTGCAGGTACAGCCGAGGATGCCTGCTGCTGATGGGGGCGTGGGGCAGGTGGCCGCGCTTCCCTCATCAGGGCCGGCGGTGGGGGAGCCTCCGATGGTGCAGCTTGAGCCTTCGGTTGGGAGGCCGAGGTTGCTCTACCAGACACCTTTACTTCCTTCTTCCGGACCGGCGGTGCTGGCGATGGAGTCGCGGCCCGGACGGGGCTCGGGGCAGGTGGCCTCGGGGGCATCTTCTCCTGTGGCGCCTCGAGGGCCTTGTGTGCCGGCGGCGCCGGTGCCGAGAGTTCGCCCTTTGGCCGGGGTAGTGGGGGAGCTCGGGCAGGAGGCCATGGCTCCTCCGTCCCCCGGCATGGTGCACCCCAGCAGAGCCTCTCGGGAGGAGGTGATTGCTTTCGGTGGTATCCCGGATCCGGTTGCTGAGGGGCGACGGTTGAGCAGCCGTCTCCAGGACCATCCGGAGGTGGACGACATTCAGCAGCGGTGCGCTATGAGGGCGGCCAAGCTTCGTGACCTGGAGGTCACTACGGGTATGTCTGTCAATACTTCTAATTCTATTCTTCATTTTTTCGATGATGAGATTATTAATAATGCAAATAAGCTAGGAATTTCACTAGGTAGCAATGATAGTGAAATTTCAAATTCGGTTAATGATTTATTGGATTTAGAGGCTGAGCGGGCGCTTGAGATGATTCGTAACTTAGCTGCGGTTAAACCCATGAATAACTTTGAGATTGATGCTTTGGGGGTTAGGGCCCTCGATAATTTGTGTGCAGATCTCGCTCCTGAGGAGGAAGATGAGCGAGTGGACTTTGATGAAGTGCGAGCCTCTGAGACTGGTTGTGAGGACCAGCTGGAGAGTTTTAATATTCCTAAACGCAAATGGAAGCGGAAGATTTACCCGACTTCTGCAGTGCGTAGGAGCGCGCGGATTAGAACAGCTAAAAAATTCCATGACGAGTTATGAAAGGAATCTTTTGGAATAGCAGAGGTCTGAAAGACTTGGCTAAAAGAAGGTTTCTTGCTGAGGCTTCTATTGAGCATAAGTTGGACTTTATCGCTTTATCGGAAACTGGTAGAGCCGACTTTTCGCCTCAATTTCTCAATACGTTGTCGGGAGGTATTGAGTTTGATTGGCATTGTCTACCGCCGCGAGGAAGATCAGGGGGGATTTTACTCGGAGTTAGATGCGACGCGTTAGAAGTCCGAAGCGTGGTCATGGGGGATTTCGCAGTTAAGTTTAGGGTGAGATCGAGGGCCGATGGGTTTAACTGGGCTTTGGTGGCGGTTTATGGAGCCGCACAGCCCGAGATTAAACCAGATTTTTTTGGCTAATTTGGTTAGGATTTGTGGTTCTGAGCAACTGCCTATCCTAGTAGGGGGTGATTTTAATATTATCAGAAGGCGTGATGAGAAGAATAATGATAATTTCGACGGTAGATGGTCGTTCATGTTTAACACCATCATTGAAAGTCTGGATCTGCGTGAGATTGAGCTTTCGGGCGGGAAGTTTACTTGGGCTAATGCACTACCTAAGCCGACGTTTGAGAAGCTGGATCGGGTTCTAGCTAGCGTCGAATGGGAGCAGAAATTCCCTTGTGTAACGGTGCAGGCACTTACACGGGGCATTTCGGACCATACGTCGTTATTCATTGATTCTGGGGAGGCCACTCATGTGGGTAATAAGAATGTCTTCTCGTTCGAGCTTGCGTGGTTCAAGAGACAAGGGTTCTTAGATACTGTTGCCAGAGTATGGGCTAAGGATGCAGGAGGTAAAACTGCACTTGAGCGCTGGCAGAATAAAATTAGGCACTTGAGAAGCTTCCTACGAGGGTGGGCTAAACATCTTAGTGGGGTTTATAAGATTGAGAAGGAACAGCTCCTTTCGCTTATTCAGTCCCTGGATGTAAAAGCTGAGAACATGATCCTACCAGCTTCGGAGCTCCAGGCGAAGCTCGATGCGGAAATGAGGCTGAAAGAGCTACTTCGTGAGGAAGAATTAAAGTGGGCGCTTCGGGCCAAGGTCCAACGGGTCGTCTAGGGGGACGCGAACACACAATTTTTTCACATGATTGCTAATGGCAAGCATAGAAAGAAGAGAATCTTTCAGCTTGAGCAAGATGAGGGAAGGATTCTGGGTCAGGAAAACTTAAAGCTGTATATCACTGAGTATTACAAGCAGTTGTTTGGACCTCCAGAGGAGAACTGGGTGTTGCTGGATGAGTCTAGGATTGAGGATGTGCCTCAACTGACAGCTGTTGAGAATGATATCTTAATTGCTCCTTTCTCTGAGAAAGAGGTATTTGAGGCCATTTCCCAGATGAAGAATAATAAGGCTCCTGGCCCGGATGGTTTCCCGACCGAGTTTTACAAGAAATGTTGGCACATTATTAAAGGAGATCTATTGCCTTTGTTCAATGATCTTTTCGCTGGTCAGCTTCACCTTTTTAAGCTAAATTTTGGGACGATAACACTTATTCCCAAGAAGACAGAGGCAGTGCGGATTGAGCAATTTCGGCCAATATGTCCTCTTAATGTGAGTTTCAAAAAATTTACCAAGGTCGGAACGAATAGGCTCACACAGATTGTGCATACTGTGGTGCAGCCTACTCAATCTGCTTTCATGCCGGATAGGAACATTCTTGAAGGGGTGGTGGTCCTGCATGAAACACTCCATGAAATTCACTCGAAAAAACTGGATGGAGTGGTTTTTAAGGTGGATTTCGAGAAGGCGTACGATAAAGTCAAATGGCCCTTTCTACAACAAGCCTTACGTATGAAGGGTTTTGACGAAGCTTGGAGGCGCCAAGTTGAATCTTTCATGCAAAAAGGGAGTGTTGGAATTAAAGTGAATGACGATATAGGTCATTATTTCCAGACACACAAGGGCCTGAGGCAAGGTGATCCAATGTCTCCTATCCTCTTCAACATTGTTGTTGATATGTTGGCAATCTTGATAGGAAGGCAAAGGAGGCAGGACAAGTAGGTGGCTTGGTGCCTCATCTTGTAGATGGTGGTGTGTCCATTCTGTAGTACGCCGATGATACAAGCATTTTTATGGAGCACGACTTGGTTAAGGCGAGAAATATGAAGCTGGTATTGTGCCTATTTGAGCAATTGTCCGGTCTGAAGATCAACTTCAATAAAAGTGAGTTGTTCTGTTTTGGTAGAGCCAAAGAGGAACAAGATGCTTACAAGCAACTGTTTGGTTGCGATTTGGGGATTCTTCCGTTCACTTACCTTGGTATCCCCATTCACCATCGTAAGTTAACTAATAGTGAATGGAAGTGTATCGAGGATCGGTTTGAGAAAAACTGAGCGGCTGGAAGGGCAAACTTATGTCGTATGGAGGCCGATTGATTCTTATTAATTCGGTGCTCACGAGTTTGCCTATGTTTCTCTTATCCTTTTTTGAGGTTCCAGTTGGAGTTAGGAAAAGACTGGACTTCTATCGGTCTCGTTTCTTCTGGCAGAGCGATGAAACTAAGAGAAAGTATCGCCTAGCCAAATGGGATGTCATCTGCCGACCAAAAGACCAAGGGGGTCTTGGGGTTGAGAACCTTGAAGTTAAGAATAGATGCCTTCTAAGTAAGTGGCTTTATAAGTTATCTGCCGAGACTGAGGCAACTTGGGCGCAGATTCTTCGTAACAAGTATCTGTACTCTAAAACCTTGTCGCAGGTGACGGCTCGACCCACTGATTCGCCCTTCTGGAAGGGGTTAATGAGGGTCAAAGCTACTTTCTTTAACAGAACAAAGTTTGTTGTCGGTGATGGCAATAACACTCGATTCTGGGAAGATACCTGGCTAGGTGATGCACCACTGGCACTCCAGTATCCGGCGCTTTATCGCATTGTGCAGCGACGAGATGTTCTGGTTGCAACGAGTCTGCAATCTGCTCCTCTTAACATCCAATTTAGGAGGGTGCTTGTGGGTGACCGGTGGGAGGATTGGATTCATCTGGTGAGTAGAGTCATGGAGGTTCAACTTACTCATCAGCCCGATCAGTTATATTGGAAGCTTACTAAATCTGGGGAATTCACAGTCAAGTCGATGTACATTGATGTCATCAATTCTAGTGTAATTCATAGTTCCAAACACGTCTGGAAAGTTAAGGTTCCTCTCAAAATTAAAGTGTTTATGTGGTTTATGCATAAACAAGTCATTCTAACGAAAGATAATTTGATTAAGCGTAACTGGACAGGATCTACTAGGTGTAGTTTCTGTGATCGGAATGAAACTATCAAGCATCTTTTCTTTGAGTGCTCGATGGCGAGGGTGTTGTGGCGCTCGGTGCAGATTGCCTTTAACATTACTCCTCCGAATTCGGTCAGGTCGTTGTTTGGAACGTGGCTGGTTGGTATAGAGGCCGAAACAGCTAGACAAATTCGTGTGGGAGCATGTGCGTTGTTATGGGCAATTTGGAACTGCAGAAATGACTTGGCTTTTAACAGAACAACAACTATTCATTTTTTGCAGGTTCTCTTC